CACACGGGCATAGGCACACACACCGAGACTCAAGTCGGCCTCTCGTTCGTAGCTGGTTTGTTTCATGCACCTAGATAACTTCGTTTATTTATTATGGCCTTATGCAAATGATGGCGGTATCTGGGTAAAAATGCACGACCCGGCAGCGATAGCGAGCGATACCGCTTATATTTTGCAACGGCACGATAAAGCAAATAGGAATAAAAGCCGCCGCCGCAATGACCGGCCGACGTTTGCCGCCCCCGGCCAAAAAAGACACACAAACTTTCCTGGCTGGATGCAGCACCGACCGTGTTTTAAATGCGTTTTCACTGATAATGCACCTGATTAATCGTTTATTTTTTGCTATGTTTTTAATTTATGTAATTAAAGTTTGGTTTAATATTGTGGGTTTAAATACTTTTTTAAAAGAAACAAATATTTACGTATTTTTTGTGGCAGATTTTTTTTACAAAAATGGCGAATGCGCCGGGATATCATCTCGGGAGAAAAAGTAGCTAAACGCTCGGACACTTAAACTTAATTTTTGGTCGTAGATTACAATCCCGTGATTGGTTTATATTAGCTGTATCAAAATTCTAAGATTTAATTTTTAAGTTTTGGAGCATTCCATTAGGAAACAAGCTGTATAAATTTAAAAAAACTCAATTGGGATGGACTCACACATCCGTTCTAAATTTAAAAAAAAAATCTTACAAAATTTACGGTTAATTGATCAAAAGAAACACGTGACCCTGCACAGTAAAAAAAGCTTCACACTAGACTTCACTAGAGAACACTAGTTATAGCTTGAGCAGGTCCACTTTATTAGAGTTCAAATTTTCACCTAAAATTTAGTGTGAATTTTAGTGTTGTTTTAACTCTAGAGGTTGTACTCTCGTAGTAACACATTTAACACAGTTCGTGCGGCTTCATACACTATTTGATTAAAAATTACTACACTAACCGTGTTCACTTTGACACTAATTTATTTGCATTTATTTCACTTATAGTGTGAATGCTATTCCCAATAGTGCTGGAAATTTAATCTATCTCATGTTTATCCTAACACTAATATATTTAAAAATTGTACACCAATATTGTGTAAGATTGATGTCTGCAGTTACATATATAAAATGCATTTAATGTCGATAAAAAGGGTATAATATTATTATAATAATATATTATATTATATAATTTTAGCGCATTAAAGACCAAGAGGAGAAAGCACTTATTATCCCTGAGCATACATTTCACTGCCGAGGCGTCAGCTGAGGCAGTGGATTGTGTGCGAGGTAATTATTAAGCTTTCGATGCCGTGTTTTATATACCTACTATTTTTTTTTTCAAGCATTGCATTTTTTTACTGTGATTTTGAGAAATCCTTATTTTAATAATACTTAAAAGTTGAAGAAATTTTTCTTTTTAATGATATTGTCCAAATGTTGCCCATTGGACTCATAGCTCTCTCAAATTTCCATTAAGATCCGACAAGTTTGATCTGTCAATAAACGAAATTGTCGTTACTGGTGTGAAACCAACCCTAAAAAAAACATCAAATGCTTTTGCATAGCCCAAAAGTCACAGATTCGGCTTTGTTGTTTGCGAATATTAGTAGAATATTCCGAATCTATTTGTAAGGTTCCAGTTCTTCCAGGAATATACTTTTATATTCTATATTTTTGAATATTTATGGTACGTTCCGTCTAAATCAACTACTAATGTTCTTATTCTTCCATGAATAAACCATTTTGTTCTGTAAAAATTCTCACTTACTAGGTACCTATTCTTCACACACGCTATAGCTATTTATAGATATAGCTAGCTAGGGTGTGTGAATAATACCACAGAAACATTACCAGTAATGTTTTTTTGATGACATGAAAGAAATTTCTCGGTTAACTGAAACAAAAATTAACTGAAATGCAGCCAAAGATATGTGAGAGTGAAAGTAAGAGTGTTTTTAAATATTATACTTTTTTATGGAACGTGTATTATTATTTTACTTGTATTTAAATACAGTTTTTAATCAACTTTAGTCTATTTTTTTTAACCTAGAACTATTATCAGGAATATTCCAATGAGATACTGTGAAAGATTCATGAAATTGATTTAAAAACGTTTTTGAATTTAGTTAAGGAATATTCCTGTAAACATGCCCACTGAGCGGATATTCCGGGAATATTTTTTGGAATATTCTAGGAGTTTTAGAATATTCCAGGAATAACATAACATTCGAATGCTACTTTGCGATCTGGGATAACGCACCTGTTGTCGCAGAGGAAACCTGGTGGGTAAGTTACTGTGTAGGAGAAGGGGAAGGTCTCATAAGAATGGAATCCAGTCTGTCGCATGACTTGTGCACATGTAATTGTGAAAGCGTTTCTTGATAACCTTGTTACCTAGCCATTCATAATTCCATTATGAGCTTAGTGAAGCATTTTGAGTCGTGTGTTTGAAGGTGATAAATCTTAACTAAAAAGAAAATATGCCAGGAGCCCAGAGTGGCCCCTTTTTTTTTCTTCAATGAAAATTGTGATTTTAACATGTGTGTTAAAATATTAAAGTTTCTCATTGTATTTTCCACTTTAAATTGGCCAAAAATGGGGGTCTACTTATGGACCAAAACAGCTGTTTTGACATTTTTTTAAAAACATTAAAAAATATTTTACATTGCTTCAAATCAGATTAAATTTTATTCATCCTAAGCATTTATCTTTAAAACCTAACACTTTTAAGAAAATCAGAAATGGGGTTTGGGACATGATATCGAAAATCAGTCAATCTTCTATTATAGTGATCCGTAGAGATCAATACCTTTGAAATAAGTACCTGAATAAAAAAATTCACAATTTTTTTGAATTTTTAGGTTTTTCTAATTTTGTGAGTGTTAAGTCCATGTCTGACAGTGCAACTTCTCGCGGCGACTTTGTTGCGGCGACTAGTTGCAGCGACTTTCTCGCCTCTGGGGTGTTCACGCGATGCAAATTGACGCTATTTTCTACTAGGATTGCCAACTTAACCGAAAATTACTAAGTTGAAAAAATTTTCGTTGTAAGTATTTTGTGGTGTAAAAACCCCATGAGCCTGTTTGGTTTATTTTTACAGGCATGTAAATAAAAAAACGCATAGATTATAAACGCAAATCACAAGATAAAACTCATCTGTCATTCCTCAACTGATAAATAATTAGTGAAAATTCGTAAATCCCTACTAAAATTACTAAGTCGCCGCGACTTTATTGCATAAAAATAGAACATGTCCTATTTTAGGACAAGTTACATCAGCTGATTAATTGCACCGTGTGAACATTAAAAAATCGCGGAGACCTGATCGAGTGGAACTCGATGTGCAATAAAAAAAAAGTAAGCTTAGAGTTTAATTTCTAATATTAATAAGAATCAAAAAAGAACTTTTTGGAAAATCATGCCCATTTTCGATTTGGAAGATTCATCATCACTCATTGTTCAATTCTTCCTCCTTCTCCTTCTCCTCGCTGGAAGATTGTTTATCTTTAACACCTTTTTCGTTTATTGTTGTGACGGGATTCTTCCTTCTGATTCTCCTCGCTGAAAGATAATTCTTCGTTCATACAACTAATTACAGAGACTCCATTCCTTATTTACTAGTCCATCATCATAATCAACCAAAATGTTTACAACACTCGATTCTTCATCCGTAGTGCACGATTTAAACTTTTTCACCGCCGAAGTTAACGAGAATCCGTCGTTGTCGTCGTGGGTATGTTGGTTATAGTGGAAAGATAATTTTCCTGGGGATTGGCTTGTTAATTGGTAGGTATATTAATTTAAAAGTCGCACCTCTACTATGTACTTTACTTCGATTTTCAAACGATTTAAAATTGGAAGAATATTGAATATAACCTAAAAACCACAACAAATATTGAATTCATTCGTAATTCTTGACACATCTGCAAGGTAATCGAAGCGTTTTGATTCTTTGTTTGAGAAAAAAATAACACACTTGTAGATTACAAATATACAATAAAAAATTGCATGTCACAACTACTATTATGGTTGTTATGGAAAAAAAATAAACAACGCATTTGCTTCGAGCAGAAATTAACATGGTTGACAGTTTTTCTCATAAAATTTAAACTTTAAATCATTATAACTTTATTATAATTTTTTGTCATATACAAATCATAAAACTTTAAAATAATAAAAAACAATTAATTTTTAAAAACTACTCGTTCAAATTTTTTGTACAGTGTGGAATACAGTTAGTGTGCCCCTTACCTATTTTTATTGATTATTTAGGATTTATTAGAAAAAACTGGATTAATAAAAATAAAAAGCATAATGTAATATTACAAATAAATAATTTATTGTCTTCATGATGTTTGGGTATTTTTGAAATACCTCCAGTTAAATATAATATATGTAACATGAAATTCACTTTTACATAACTATTTTTCAGTTGTCAACTGTAGATAATTATTAACTAAACTAAACAACCCAAGATTGAATAATAAATATTTTCCGGTAAAAATATTTCTTAATTTATCTTGTAAAGTAAAAAGCCTATTATATGCAACATTACATAGTTACAGTAGGAAAAAAAGAAAAAACAATAAAAATTACAAGTGACAGTTATCAAATAAGTTTCACTTTGGCATAACGTTTTTCATATTTTATACAAAAAATCTAAACTTAAAATTATAAAAAATAGTGATAAACCTTTAACTTTATACAAAACAAACTTTTAAAACTGCTTATTTTTTTACATACAATGGAATAATAACATATTGCCGCCTTTTTACTTCAAAAAGGGGAGCCCACATTTATTTATACATAACAGTTACGCGTATACAAGACTGGCCTGTTTAAAACCATAGAGAAAAGTACATTGAAAAACAAATTTACAAAGTCCCATTCTAAAATTTGGCACATATAACTGAATAAACTTAAATAGTTCTTGTTTCTCTCCACTGGCTTTAAAACTTATTTTTATATTTAAAATCACTTTTAACCATATTGAGATTATAACACTATTCATTTCTACTGTACAGACGCCTCAGCAGGTCTGCTAGGCGGATTATTGTTATTGTTGGCCGAATTGGCCGTGATTTCGCCGGCGTGACTTGAACAATAAAATTTCTTGTGAGCTATAAAAGTCGAGTAGTAATTAAAATAGATATCGCACGATTTGCAGTACTTTTGGCCAGGTTTACTGGCCTCCTGAAGATCGTCCTGTTCCAACGCTGTCGCTCTCGGATCCGTCTCTTCTTCCAGTTTTATATCTTCAATCGGATTGGTTATGATTATTTCGGGTTCTATAGCTTCTTTTTTCACGATTATCTCATCTTCCTCTTCTTCCTCCAAAGATGGCATCGATTTTCTTTTATCGTCGCCATTAACTGTTTCTTCAGAGTTTTGGTTTTCGTGCACCTGCACGATGTGTCTCAGGATGGTACTCTTCGAGGAAGATGTGTATGGACAATGGGGACAAATTAAGGGGGGCAATTCAGCTTTAGGTTCTGGAGGTGAGGCTGGGGGGCGCTCCACTGGTCCGACAAGACCTGGAGCTACGCTGACCTCCATTGTATTGGAGGCATCGTCTTCGAGAATGTATGAAATGTATTTTTCCTCCTGTAACAAAGATATAATATTAAATGATATTATGGTATCAAGATGGAAAAGTGTGGAACTTTACAGGCGGATGTCACGGAGTCAATAAAACCTAGATAAAAGATCTAGGCAATGAAAACAACCTAACATTAAGGCTTATTTCAAACTGAAATTACGCTGAACATTAGATTTTTTCTAAAAATTTAATCCAATTTTTAAATATTTTTATACATAAATTAAAAAAAATCAATTTGAAAATGACAGCACTTGTAAAATGAAGTAACTATCGTGAAATAAAAAGTGTCAACGAAAGTATCAACATAGAAAAACCATCAAGAAGTTCTTAACAAGAACACTGTACATGAATACAGTGTTCTTGTCCTATTTTCAATGTTGTCCTAGGATAAAGTGACCATCCGTCCCGATTTAGGCGGGACAGTCCCGATTCTGAGCTAAGGGTCCCGATTTAATAAGCGTCCCGCTTTTGTCCCGCTTTCAATAAATTCGGACTATTAACTTTACCTCTAATTGTTTAGAATATTTAAGCCAGTACCGTAGTAAAAAAGCTCTGACATGGGAACAAGTACAAAAAAGTTATGACTTTCTTTTAAAAAAATTCCCTAAATGCCCCATAGTTGAAAATGTTTTATTTGATGAGACTCACTATGTTCATTATTATGTTTCTGAGAGTAAACTTATTTTTTGGACTGAGCAAAAAACTCCCACAGATCAAAAATGGGTAGAAATGTTTAGTCATTTCAATGAAAATAACATTCCTTTCAATATTATTTTAAAATTAGTAAAATATATATTATGCTTGCCTTGTACAAACGCTTCTACCGAACGGGTTTTTTCTATGATTAATAAAATTTGGACCACCGAAAAAACTAATTTGTCTGTAGAAACTTGAAAAGCTTTAGTGACTATTAAATATAATTTTAAAGGAGACTGTATGAGTTTCTACAATGAACTGTTAAAAAATAAGCCCCTATTAAAAAAAAATTCATCAAAATAAAAAATATAGGTAAATAAAAATTTTATAGGTATTAAAAATTTAATATCAGAATACTGATTGTCGTTTTTACTTGTAGTTTAAACTTTGTTTTTTTGTATTTTATTACATATTTTGTATAACTACGTAGTATTTTTTATTTATCACTACCCTAATTCTAAATTAAAAATGAAAACAAGATTTTTGACAATTTTGTAACTTTGTCCCGCTTTTGGACTTTTAGGATCTGGTCACTTTATCCTAGGAAAAATTTTAATTACACACATTTTGTGTAGGAATAAAAATAGGGTGTGTTAGCCTGTCCAATTTTCACTTTATCGCATAGGTCTTCTATATAGATATAGAAGACCTATGCGATAAAGTGAAAATTGGACAGGCTAACACACCCTATTTTTATTCCTACACAAAATGTGTGTAATTAAAATTTTTTCTACTCCCACCTTTAAAACGCCCTTTATCGTACATGTTTCCATGACACTAAGTGACCTTTTAAATACACATTGACAAGTTGTGGCTTTATGGCGCTTTAGTCACGGGCTGAAGTTAACAAAAGGTTTTTAGTCACGGGCTGAAGTTAGTTGACAGTTGTCAAATGTCATACAATCGTTAAAATAAATTGCCTTTCTTGTAAAATAATACTAAATGTGAAAATTTTATTATCTCAATACGAAAATACAAAAGTATTAAATAGTTTCTCAACGCCAATATTTGAAAAGTTTATATGAACATTGTACTGACCTTCTAATTTCGCCGGCAGTAAACAATAACTTAAATTCGGGCACGGACTCCACTGTACAGTGCTCATAAAACATTTTCTTTACTTTCACTTTGAAAAACTGTAAATTTTCAAGAAATACATTTCGATTTACAACCTTTATAATCTGTGTTTATAAAATATAAAAGTTTGACATTTGACGGTGACACAGATTCCCCCATTGTTTCATAGATGGCGTTCTATATAAATTTTTTATTTAAATCATTTTAAGATAATAAGTACTTGTCGTAGAAAAAGTATAGTACCTATGCACCTCGTTTATAAACTTTTCTATACACTCATTAATTTAAGCACTCGCTCGTGCCTAAATTAAATTCGTGTATAAAATGGCGTTTATTAAACTTGATACATAATATACTATTATCTACTCCCCCATTCATAAGCTGTTACTTTATGGCGTTTTAGTCAAAGGCTGAAAGCAACAGTGGCTTTTGGGAATTTTAGACACAGACTGAAGTTAGCTTTATTAGGGAAAAGTGAGGTTAAATCCGTTTAAAGTTGTCAGATGTCAAATGTTTAACTAATAGTGATCTACAATTTGCTGTATTTGACGCCTCCAAGGATACATGTAACAGGATAGTTAACAGTTCTTTTTCGCGATATCTTTTTTTCCAATAGCCATGTTCTTTTTACCACAAAGATCAAATTAAACGAATTTTTGTTGGTCAGTCAAAAATCGAGTAGGCTTAAACCACGCCCACCTACGGCATGTTTTTGTACGTGGCCGAGTATAGGATAGTTATCCTGTCTATATATATCCTTGGACGCGTCATTAAATATAGCAACGGATGTAAAAGTCCCTTCCTATGGATGTAATAGTATATTTTTTAGCCATTTGTGGCTGTTTTGCAATGCTAGCCACAGAAACACATACTTTCCCGTCCCTATGGAGACGGTAAATTCAAATTTATCATAGTGTAAGAAGAAAAATAAATAACAAGATTTTTAACAAAGTTTTGACAATATTATCAAAAAAAAACCTACCTGTAAATCCGGAGATCTCTTATCGAAGTGCATTCTAATATGGGTCCTCATCCCTCTCAAAGTATTTCCTTTGTATTTACATATTTTACATCTATAAGCCTTTACACCGGTGTGGGTTTCCATGTGCCTTTGCGCAGCGCTCGCCGTAGGACTGATGACGTCACAGCAGGGGCATTTCCATCCTGCCAAAGGAGCTGGAGGATGACACTGATGTCCCGGTTCTAGAATGCCTCTGCATTTCCCGCACTTTCTGACTTCGTTCTCGTTCTTTTTGGAGCAGTAATAGGCTTGGTGGGCGTTTAAATTGTCCAGTGAAGTGAACTTGATGCCGCAAGCTAGGCATATAAGTTGCTGGTACTGTCCAGGGGATGTGGTTCCGGTGCTTCGTGGGCTTACGGGTGGGCTACCGGAGGTTTTGGAGGTGTCATCGTCCTGCATCCTCGCTGAACAATAATGTTTTTTGTGAACAACGTAGTTTTCATGTTTGCAGAAAACTATGTTGCACTCTTTGCATTTGGATACGCCTTGTTTCACCAAAACTTGAGGTGTAAATGAGGGAATTTGTGGTATTTCAGCTAACCGCATCTGCACCTCTGGAGTGAATAACGGTAACCCGCCTGCTCTCATCAGCAAAGGGTGCAATGCTGGGGATATCTCGAATGGAGGAACGTTTCCGTCGGGACTTCGAGATTTTTCCATCATATTCGATTTGGGGGTTTTGCTTAACGATCTGGGACTGCAGCTTCTTGAGGTCTCGTCTTGTTTTCTCTTTGGGGAGATGCTCAGGGCTGGGGAGTTGCCTTGAGAAACTGGCGTTGACGGCGGGGAACCCGGAATGGAGGGGACGCATTCTATTTTTTCAGGACTAGGCGACCTTCTTCTTTTGTTCTCTTTTTCATGCTCATCGCCGAAATCTATAACCAAGTCCCCGTCGTCGTGAGATCTTTTAACGCTTAAGTCTAGCGGTAGCGACGAATCTCTTATAACCGAAGTTTCTTTGGGTTTATTTGAAGTTTTTAGGACTTCCGCAGGTTTTGGAGTAGCCGGATTAATAGCAGAAGTCATGGGTTGAAGGGTACCATTTGGCATCAAAAAGCAAGGGCCTTCTGGATTTGCTATGCCGACTGGTAGGCCTGTTAGACCCGGGAGAACGCTAGCGCTTCTGAACAATGAGTATGGCACGATTATGATCGGGTTAGTTGGTAGAGCTAAGAAAGGTTGCTGGGGCGGCATTTGTTGCGCAGAGGACGGCGAAGGCGGCGTCCGACAAGTCGTGGATTCCACCGGGGAAGTTGGGGACGAGCCAGATGTGCAACTGGATGCAGCCTTAACGTTAGCGTTAGTGCCACCTTTAGCATTATGTCTGGAGTTGCAGTAGTGCATTTTGTGGGCCTTGAACGTCTTTTGCGAGCTAAACCTTATATCACATTCGGCGCAGTATTTGTCTTGACTATCTGGTGCGTTGTCTCCATTAGAAACAGCAGCAGCGGTTACGTTAATTGGACTAGGTGAGACTGTGTGCATTCGCATGTGTCTGTTCAGACTGACTTTCTTATCCGCACTGTAAGAGCAATGCGTGCAAGTGTACTGTTTTCCTGTTCTAATATTCTTGTTGCTCGGTTCCGACGGATCCTGATCGGACTGGTTGCCGCCTGGATCGGCACTTGTCGACTTGGCATCGTCGTCGTTACTCGGTTTGTTAGCACGATGCGAACAGTAATATGTCTGGTGAGCCTCCAAAGTGCTCAGGGATGAGAATCTTATACCGCAAGGCTGGCATTGGAAGATCGGCACGCTCGGGGCTCTATTCTCAGTTTCTGCAGTTTGCCTGGCGGCAGTTTCAGCTATATTCGGTAATAGAAACGCTCTAGAAGCCAAGACAGTTTGTAGCGACGCTAAATATTCAGCGCTTATTGGAGACTGACTGCTTTCGGCTTCACTTTTTAGATTTGCTAGATTAATGGCGGGATCAGTCGCTAGATTCGCTTTGAGGCGTATTCGAGGGGTTTTCTCTTCCGGTTCTGTTTTTATCACGGTTTTTATTTCTTCCTTCTGTTCGGGAGACGTTGATTTTGCAGGGGGACTAGTCGAAACCGCAGGCTTGGTTTCATTGGTTGGGGTTGCTCCATCGTTTGACCAATCTCCCACTTCACCTGCAACAAAATAAAAAGAGATTTAGTTTACAGTACATAAGTAGATTTCGAATGCTTAAGATTACATAGTGTATGCATAAGGTGTAGGGATGGATTCGTTTTTTTAAGGTGGTAAAGTGTCGCGATCTGGTCAGCAACAGCAGCGTTTGTTGGAGAGATAGACGCGTGGGTCGATTCAGTGACGGACTGCTTCATTAGAGCAGAACCCGTACATGCCCGAGCCGTGTAGTATGCTCGCTCTTATCACCGATCCATTTGTACAACCTGTTCTCAACGTTCCGTTCCTCTACATCCATCCACTCTTTTTAGCCGGGCAATAATTTACGCGGTCCCGCTCGTATTTTATTACTTTATCATAAGCCAGTATCGAACACTCGCCTTAGATCCTATCGGCGCTCGTGTTTCCTAGTAAACCAACACTTGTATGGGATTTACATTTGGTTTCATGCTTTGTCCCAATCGAAAAATCATCGCGTACACTTAATTAACGATAATTCCGCACACAACTACCATTTTTTCTCATTCCTTCACCTACTCTCTCCCTATCACACCATCTGATACCAACAAATATTTCACACTTAATCTCCACAATTTTATTTCAAAGCATCTCAAATTAATGCAACTTCAGTTGTCATAAGTATTTTATACTAAAAAAAATGTTATCAACTGGTTGTCTCAAAAGTTGCGCACCACCTTTAAGGTGTATGATCCACAGAAATCCCAGAAAATTCTATCATTATTATTTAAAATAATATGAGAACGTAAGCATTAAGTTTTTAAACTTAAAAATAATAGGTTTACCTTGTTTATATTGGTTAAAGTAATATAATAATATTAGGTCTAATGTATATTATTAATATTGAAACAAGGGTTTTATAAGGAATTAATCTTTTATCTCATAAGAAAATGCATTTTAGGATTTTTACTTTAATAATGCGCATGCACAATTTTAACCAAATATTCACCAGATTTTATGTTAAATAACTTACTGATGTATTTCGTAACTTAAACCGACTTTACTGTATCCCCTAATTTTAGTTTGAAAACCAGTGATGGCACCAAATAAAAATAATAACAGATTTCTGGTAATATATTTTAAACACTCTGGACAGTTGTTATGAACACGTTACGAATTAAAATAAAGTAGATAAGCGGAAACATAAGTTGCAGACGCTGAAGTCGGTTGAACTAATTGATGCGTATTGTCAATGCAAAATGTTTTGATAGAAAGCCTGAAATCACGTGTACTTTTTCAACGAAATAATTTGTTAAACATTAACAAAATAATCTGTAACCTTTGAAATTAACAAAATGCTTACACAATTGCATTTTACCTTTACAAAACTTTCGGTAAAATATTTTCCTATGTTAAAATAATTGAATCGGTGAGTTCAAGAACAGTACAGGTCCAAAATTTAAAATTTTTACAAATTACTTTATAAAATAATTTTTTTAGTTTAAAATGCATTTTTTTTGTGAATATTTTAACTATTTTATAAAATATATTAACCATATTTTGTACAATAGTTGAAACATTCTCACAAAAATGCATTTTAAAGTATAAAAATAATTTTATAAAATAATTTGTCAATATTTTAAATTTTGTACTTGTACTGTTTTTGAACTCACCGATTCCATTACAATCCCCGGTTGTCTGCAAAAAATTATGTTAAAATTTTACAAAATAACAATAACCAATCTGATTTTTATAATAGTGTGCGTTTGGCAACATGATGTATGTACCAAAAATTGATTATCACAACAATTAATTGGATAATTAGATTCTGTCATAGCATTTCTGTTAGATAATGACATGTATCCCTTTAAAGAGTATTGTGATATGTATCTTGTGTTTGGAGAATGCTAAGAATCTACAGTGTAGATACTACACCTTCAAGGTGTAAAGTTTCATCGATTTGTTAATTTTCTAACAGTATTGAAATGTTAATGATCCAAATGACTAAAAATGTTGATAAATGATAGTAGAACCAAAAAATGAAAATTTGGTTTGCTTAAGTTTGGAAAAAAGCATTGTATTGAAAATGGATTCAATGCACTCAACGCTTTACTTTTAGCCTTGCAATCAGTTTGATGTATATACCTTTAGTTTATGTTAAGATAATGATCCAACAGCCAATAAATATCCAACAATATCTATGTCATTGGTTTTTTTAATCGTTGCAAAGTAATTAATAATACGTTCAAAGTTTACATAACGCACAGGGCATAAAATATTGAATCGTGACCGAAGCCTTTGCCAAGCGAACGCCTTAGATGTTTTAAAAAGATCAGGTGCTACTAAAATTTATTGGATCTTGTATACAGGGCAGTACACAAAAAGATATAACATGAAAAGAACAATACAAATCTATCCAATCGGCAATTCAGCTTACGAAGTTAATTTAAAGCCTTGCATTCGATTCGAATGCAAGGCTTTAATTACACGAAGGAAGATATCAACATTTTAATGGAAGTGAGTAAAATTGTCTTCCTCTTTATTATTATAATAATTATTATTGACAAATTCACAAGCGTCCTCTTTAAAATATTTACACAGTTACATATTGAAAATACATAGACAAAAACTGATGATGATGGTAGGGTTGCCACGTATCCTGGATTTCGGCGTCTGCAGGATTTTTTTTCTTAAAACGTGGCAACACTGAGATTGGGTGATCATTTGGTAAAATTATGACCCTGATCTGATAAACAGGTGCGATTTGGCGCCTATTTTTCCATGTTTAGAAATGAGGCGAGACACTTTAATAGAGCAATGAAAGAATATTTAAATCCTTGCATAAAAATGCCCCAGAAATCAAGGATATGTTGGGAAGTGTAATAATAAGGGCTTATTTACAAATTCCTTAAATCAAAAAATTCGTTGAAAAAATTATTTTTAAACTAACAAATATCAGTCGACAAATCGACTTTATCTTCAGTACAGTAGTTGATGTGGATAGTTCGTTATTTCTGTTTTTTTATTTTCTTTCGATTCGATAAAATGGTATATTATGTATCAAGTTTGATAAACGCCATTTTATACACGAATTTAATTTAGGCACGAGCGAGCTTTCGAGCGAGTGCTTAAATTAATAAGTGTATAGAAAAGTTTATAAACGATTTAAATCAAAAATTTGTATAGAGCGCCATCTATGAAACAATAGAGAAAACTGTGTGTCACCGTCAAATGTCACATTTTTATATTTTATAAACACAATTATAAAGGTTATAAATCGAAATGTATTTCTTGAAAATTGACAGTTTTTCACAGTGAAAGTAAAGAAAATGTTTTATGAGGACATTACAGTAGAGTCCATATCCGAATTTAAGTTATAGTTTACTGCCGGCGAAATTAAAAGGTCAGTACAATGTTTATATAAACTTTTCAAATATTGGCGTTGAGAAACTATTTAATATTTTTGGATTGAGATAATAAAATAATTTTCACATTTAGTATTATTTTACAAGAAAGGCACTTTATTTTAACGATTGTATGACATTTGACAACTGTGAACTAACTTAAAACTAACTTCAGCCCGTGAGTAAAAACCTGTTGCTAACTTCAGCCCGTGACTAAAGCGCCATAAAGCCACAACTTGTCAATGTGTATTTAAAAGGTCACTTAGTGTCATGGAAACATGTACGATAAAGGGCGTTTTAAAGGTGGGAGTAGAAAAAATAGTTTATTCTATTGCGGAGTGATTGAAAATTATTGAAATGTATTTTATAAACAATCAATGTGCAAGAGTAATGGCAACTTTGTTTAATTAGAGGCATGCAAATAGACACGTACATCATGGTTACATCCTGGAGCTGCGAAATTTCGGCGGTTCAGTGGCAAATAAAAACGAGATAGGTACTGAAAATCCGGTAAGAAATAAGGCAGTAGAAGTAGTTGTAAAGTACCAGAAAACTTTCTGATGTAACGGGAGTTTCGCAGGCCACGGTACAGAGAATTCTGAAACTTAATAAATGGCACCCATATAAAATTTAACTTCTTTAAGAATTGCATGAAGATAACGACTGATGTTTACAATTTTGTGAAATAATGTCCGAAATAATTATAAATACTCCCAACTACCTTTTGTTTGCTTCTCAGACGAATGTTCGCTTTTCAATGGCATTGTCAATCGTTATAATTGTCGTTATTGGTCCAACAAGAATCCAAGGATCTTTCATGGGGTTTATACCAACATCCTCAAAAATTAAACGTTTGGTAATCACATAATTGGACCATTTTTCTTACCGGGAAATTTAAATGGACCTACTTAGACCAACGTTACCATATAGTTATATCTAGCTTAAATACATTCTTAAGAAAGTTATTTATAGTAACTATGTCAACTATCAAAATTACACCAATATTGCTATATGGGTGATTCTACAAAGTTGGACAACTTGAGTAGGTATTTTAATATTTTTTGTAAATATTTTAGTATATTACACAAGATCCAGTTTTTTTTAACTTTTCCACCCAATTTTAATGTATTTTTTCAAAAGCACGTTTGTAGAAAAACATAATAAATATTCAAAACATCAGTACCCTGTTACAACTCCTGAATCAAATATTTGAGTGATTTTACATTAAAATATATTCAATTTACCTTAAATTTCACTACAAACTATAAAACATTAATGAATGTTTTTTTCATATTTTATCATAGATTCGAATAATAGCAATTTTTTAAAAATTGATAATCTTTGTACTCACTTTTACCCGTCAGTTCTGTGTCCAATGTTAAAATTCAAAATTACTGCGAAATATTGAAGTTTAAACGTCAAGTCCTCGTTTTAACTCAACACTTAAGTGTTGGTAAAAAAGTACCTACAGAGCCCGCCCTTTGCACGCCAGTCATCTTGAAAATAATGCAAGCGGCGAAGTTGTGGTGAATGCACGTATAGTTCCAGTCAAAATTTCAGTACTGTGGTGAGTTATTTTCTTAAGTATATATATTTCATTGTAAGTTATATAAGGCTATATGTGATTTGTTGATAAGTAGC